AGGTTATTATATGCTAACTACTGGGCTGTTATATTCAAATCAGTTTGCTGATATCTGTCACATACTGGGTTTTTATATTCTATAAACTGGTCTGTTATATTCAAATCAGTTTGCTGATATCTGTCACATACTAGGTTATTATATTCTATCCACTGGGCTGTTATATTCAAATCAATTTGCTGATATCTTTCACATACTAGGTTATTATATGCTATCTACTGGGTTGTTATATTCAAATCAGTTTGCTGATATCTGTCACATACTAGGTTATTATATGCTATCCACTGGGCTGTTATATTCAAACCAGTTTGCTGATATCTGTCAAATACTAGGTTTTTATATTCTATCTACTGGGCTGTTATATTCAAATCAGTTTGCTGATATCTGTCACATACTAGGTTATTATATGCTATCCACTGGGCTGTTATATTCAAACCAGTTTGCTGATATCTGTCGAATACTAGGTTTTTATATTCTATCTACTGGCCTGTTATATTCAAATCAGTTTGCTGATATCTTTCACATACTAGGTTATTATATGCTATCTACTGGGCTGTTATATTCAAATCAGTTTGCTAATATCTTTCACATACTAGGTTATTATATGCTATCTACTGAGTTGTTATATTCAAATCAGTTTGCTGATATCTTTCACATACTAGGGTATTATATGCTATCTACTGGGCTGTTATATTCAAATCACTTTGCTGATATTTTTCACATACTGGCTTTTCATATTATATCCACTGGGCTGTTATATTCAAATCAGTTTGCTGATATCTTTCACATACTAGGTTATTATATGCTATCTACTGGGTTGTTATATTCAAATTAGTTTGCTGATATCTGTAACATACTAGGTTATTATATGCTATCTACAGGGCTGTTATATTCAAATCAGTTTGCTGATATCTTTCACATACTAGGGTATTATATGCTATCCACTGGGCTGTTATATTCAAATCAGTTTGCTGATATCTTTCACATATCTTTCACATACTAGGTTTTTATATTGACATGCATGACTGTACATGGATAGCCAGCATATTTTGTTTTTGTTTCAATATATACATTCAATCTTCACTCTACGTAATTATAGTAACCGAATAATGTACATTACTCGATATTGTCGTCTGCTCTATCTCCTTTGATTCGTTGACTTCCCAAAATTGTGCGTAGAAACCAGTGAATTGATCCAAATTATTCGACGTGAATGTAACTTTGGCCCAGTTGCTGGAAGTAGTGCGTACTAGTGTTGGTGGTGGGTAGCCAGTGCCATTGTTGAAACTCCCACAGTATATACCGACCAATCGTAATGCAAATATACCGTCTTCATCGTCTTCGATAACCACGGAATCGGACTTACAGTCACTGTCTGCTTCGAGCTCAAACGCAGTGAATACCAGCTGTGTTAAGAGAGGTTTGATTTTAGTCTCAAAAGATGGTACGTACATTGCTTTCTATTTTATAAAATATGTAAGTATAGTTAACTTTTTTGTTTACTACCCTCCACAAATATGCTCTATGCTAGTAAAGGTAATACATTATACGGGACCCTTGCATTGCAATATATCATGACTTACGTGCAAGTTCTTTTAATTATTGCCTTTCCATTGATATTTATATCAAACATAATCGATATGGTATTTCACAGTGAAGTAGAATAAAGAATGAAGAAAAAAATTAAAATTTGCACCTCGCATTGGACACATGTAATTTTATTCAAAGCTTATTTTTTGTTTAATTCTACCGTGACGTCATCACCCGTGTAATAAGGTGTATATTCATTTAATAATACAACATTTTTTTTACCACGTAGAGACCGGTGTTAATTGCCTTATTATAAGTTATGGTTTATACCGAAGAAATATACAATAATAAACAAAACGTAATAACCAATTAATAAAAACACATAGTCCTCAATATTTTGGAATTGGTGAAAATATTATCCAACTTTAACTATATACCTGTTTTCCCGTTTTATCAGAATCGTTTGAAACAAAACAAAAACAAACTTGGCTTGAATCACCCAGTAAGTAATATTTCTAAGTAAACCCTTTAATTAGATACATGGAGTTATTTCACCTCAATATTGTGGTCTTCAGGAGCTTGAATATAATATATGCAATTCGACTTTGGTGGGTAGAGACCCGGATGATAAGGAGAACCGAATCCATCGAAGCGTGTTTCTGGTAAATTGTATACTCCGCCACATTGGCCTGTGATCGGCGTGGGATATACAGTTACTGAAATGAACATATTTCATACAATCTCAAAATAATATTGACATGTAAAATTGTTAGGAACAATACCATGGTGAAGTTATCATGTTTTATGTATATATCCATTGTGTGGCTTGTTTGTTTATTTATGTGTTACTATGCACCAAATAAACACTAATTTAAACAAAATAACGTAGAAATTGATCAATTTCAGCCATTTTCCAAACATACTGCTGATGATGACGTAGCTTTATTTACCGAGATCCCGCGTTATGCGTAAGTTGAACGTAAAACCAAAATAAAGATCACAGCCGCGTACGAACTCCGTGAATTTCGATACGAGCTTTTTATCATCGCTGCACAAAGCAGATTTGCATACAAAAAGTGTATTATTCTTGTAGTTGCCTCGGCGTTAGATTATACAATAAATGACTATAAATGACTTTATAAATTGGCAAGGTTTTTGTGTCCTATGGCTGTTAGATGCGGAAAATTCAAATCGTTCTAGCCAGAAATATTATTCCCCAGAAAACTAAATTGTGAGGATTGTGGGACATTTATTTGAGTGAAATCAGTATTTAACGTTTCTTTCCCAGATAGATACGTAAACTTGACGTTGTTTTTCTCGTATTTAGTTTATTGTGTGCAAAATTTCACTTCAGTAACGTTACCCGCAACGTAGTGCCCAGTAAAATTGTAATGTATTTTCGTTTCTACAGAAATTAGACATTGATTCATAGTTACAGGTGAAACAACTGCCGAAAAATAGCCAGGCGAAGATTAAAAAATAGTGCATTTATCATATTATATAAATGCACCACATAATACGATAAATGCACCGCATAGTATAATAAATGTACTACATAACATGGTAAATGCACCACATAATATGATAAATGTACCACATAGTATGATAAATGCACTACATAACACGGTAAATGCACCACATAATACGATAAATGCACCACATAATATGATAAATGCACCACATAGTATGATAAATGCACCACGTAGTATAATAAATGCACTACATAACATGGTAAATGCACCACATAATACGATAAATGCACCACATAATATGATAAATGCACCACATAGTATAATAAATGCACTACATATCATGGTAAATGCACCACATAATACGATAAATGCACCACATAATATGATAAATGCACCACAAAATACGATAAATGCACTACATAATATGATAAATGCACTATATAACATGGTAAATGCACCACATAATATGATAAATGCACTACATAACATAGTAAATGCACCACATAATATGATAAATGCACCACATATTATGATAAATGCACCGCATAATATGATAAATGCACCACATAATATGATAAATGCACCACATAATATGTAAATGCACCACATAATACGATAAATGCACCACATAATATGACAAATGCGCCACATAATATGATAAATGAACTACATAACATGGTAAATACACCACATAATATGGTAAATGCATCACAAAACATGATAAATGCACCACATACCATGGTAAATGCACCACATAATATGTAAATTCACCACATAATACGATAAATGCACCACATAATATGACAAATGCGCCACATAATATGATAAATGAACTACGTAACATGGTAAATGCACCACATAATATGGTAAA